ACTGAATCACTGCTGTCTTCTGATAAAACGAACAGATGACGAATTCCTTTTTATGGATGAACAAAGACAGTGATTGATTTCTTGAGAAGGAATCTACTCCTAGTAAAGATGCTGTGAACAGGTTTTGAAATACAAACAAATTATTTAAAATATTTCAGAACCTTAGTAGATATAGCAGTGGCACAGTTTGAGAGGATTGACTCCAGTTTTGAAAGAAGATCTACCATGGGTAAGATGCTATAAAAGGAAATGGCATGCTACAGAGAAATCTTTCATCAAAAAAGAGTCAATAGATGTGGCAAACTTCATTTGTTGTCTTATTTCAAGAACTTGGCATAGCCATCCCAATCTTCAGCAACCACCATTCTGATTAGGCAGCAGCCATCAACATGGAGGCAAGACCCTCCAGAAGCAAAAAAACTACAACTAATTGAAGGCTTAAGTGATTGTTAGCACTTTTTAACAATAAAGTATTTTTAATTAAGGTTTGTACATCGTCTTTTAGACCTAATGCTAGTAGTGCACACTTAATGAATTACAGTAAGTGTAAATATAAATTTTGTATAGACCGGGAAACCAAAAAATTGACTTACCTTTTTTTGCAATATTTGCATTATTTGGTGGTCTAGAACTAAGTCTACAGTATTTCACAAAAATGCCTATAATTAGACTGGAGTGTATATTTGATTCTAGGAGATCAATAGTCAATCAGTTTTTTCTTTAATTATCAGGAATAAGAGGCAGAGAAACTGTATTCCGAAGGCAACGGGTTCTGGGTTGGACAAGTTATGCAAAACTTTTGGCCTGAGCTGGCAACATAGCAAATTATTACAACCTCCTAAATGATGAATAAACAGAAAGGGTGGGCAGGGAAAATTCATTTGTAGACTAAAGGAGTGGAACAGACTCTAAGAAGCAGGAAACCTACAGGATCAGAAAGATGTGAAGCTAAGGTACTTGTTTTAAGGCGTCTTGGAACCCATGAGTCCACATTTCCTTTTCAAATCTTTTAAAAAATTCACCCAGCTTGTTTTTCTTGGAATATTTTGAATGGGCATTTATTCTTTACAACCAAAATAATTTTCTTGTTTGGTTTTTCTTTCATTAGATAAATGTATACATCTTGGAAAAAAATTAGCATATCATGCAGAAGTTACATTTATAAAATTATATTCCATTATTTTGCACTAAAAAAAAAATGTTACCATAAAGCAAGTGGCGAAGTTTATATTGGAAAAGAAAGCCAATATAATGATGGTCTTTAAATGTGGATGGAGAGGCATCCAAGGCATGCCAATGTGTTCTACAGCATGACACAGCTGCTGGAGGAGGCAGATGTGAGGGTAAGAAACAATGTGAAATATTGTAAGGGAGGTGACTCGAACCACATGGAGTGTGTGCACATGTGTGTAAACATGTATAGAACTTATCTTTCTAACAAAGTGATTCTTTTTCTGAAGTCAGGGACTGTTTTATTCTCTTGTACTTCTCAATGTCTTGAATATCAATAAGCCCATAGAAGGAGCCAAATAAGTGAATAAGTGAATCTGAATTTTGCCTTCCTCGATGACCTTGGGCAAACCGGTTAATCTTGATTACAACACAAATATATCTTATAGCTGTAATAAACTACAGCTGTGTTGCGATTGGAATAAACGAATGAATGCTTTTTCAGAACCTGTTAGTACCAGCATATTAGCAAGGTTAGCAAACAATCCTAAGCCCTCAAAATCTAGGGCTTTCTCAATCCCCTACCCCCACAAAAAGATGGATTTCTTATTCATCTTACATGTTAGCTGCAAATAACCACTGGTCTGCCCCATGTATTTTCTCCATCATGGAATCCAGGCTGAAGGTGAAGCTCCTGTCTCCCACATTGCTGATCTGGTGGCAGAGGGAAAGGAGCAATTGAATAACTATTTGATTATGCTTTAAGTTGCTGCTCAGCAATGTCATAAGTTATGTCTACTAACATGTACATTGACCAAAGTCAGTCACCTGACTCAATGGGATGAACTTATAAACCCCTCACAGAAAGTAATAATGCAAATAACATGGCAATGAGAAGTAAGGTATGGAAAGACATAGAACATTTCTGGATTAGGTATTGTTCCCTGAAAGCAAAACATCTTCAGTTCTTTATTTTTCATGGATCTTGGATCTGACATCTACAAGGACCTTCTTTTTCCATTCTCTTCCTTGGCCATATCTGAAGAGGTTATTAAAGGATACGCCCTTCCTGGTGGTCCAGATGGCTTTGCAGTCTATTTTCTGCCTATAAAAGTTTGGATCTCCATATTGGTTTACAAGATAAAATACAGTACTCACTGTTAAATTTGAATTTTTAAAAACTACAAATAATATTTTAGTGTATGTCCCAAATATTGCATGAGATAAAATTATACTAAAATACTATTTGTTATTTATCTGAAATTCAAAGTTAACTAGGCATTCTGTATTTTTATTTATTACTCTGGACACCTTAGTACTCAAAAGGAATTTCGAGTCTCAAATAATTATAGTCTGTTTAATTTAGAGTGCTGGCACAACTCTCTCAAAAGCATAGTAAGATTTTTATTTATTTGATACCAGTTTCCAGTGCCAATGTACACACTTTTTCCCCCTGAAATAGGCGTTTCTCTCTAGTTTTAGCTGCCAGTCATTTAAACTTAGCAAGATTCTATGGGAAGGTCTTACTCTGAGTCTCCTTTCCATGAGAAATTTTGACCAGTTGGAAAGATTGAATGGGTGCCACATTAATTATTTCTGAGTTTTAATAATAGGCTTTAGCTCCCTTAACCTCCAATTTGGTCTTTGTCATGAGGCTGAGTGTTAACCGACTTTGTGATTAAAATTTCACAATGTTACGTTTTACAGACAGAAATATAAAGGAATTACACCTCTTGTCTCTGTTAGTAAACTGGCCAATGCTTTCTTTTCTCATCTTGTTCTTCAAGTACCTTATCAAACGCTGCCAACATTACATGAGTAGCTTTCTGTTTTCCAACTTCTCCATGTACAGCTCAAGCTTATGCAATGCATTACCTGTCTTCGAAGTAATTACAGGCAACAATTATATTAAATGTTCCACTTACACACCTGCATAATGAGTTGTCTTGCATCCCATCAACAATAAATACCCTTTTAGACAATTACCCCATTCAAAACTCGATGGCACATATATTGGTGTTTTTTTCAGCAGAACACCACTTACATGTTCCATTTTATTAATTAGTTAATTTTGCTAGGTTACACTGTACTCTGACAAAATCTTAGTGGTTTACAACAACTAAGGGTTGTCTTACTTCAGATCTTAGCAGAAAGGCTTTCAATTTTTCCCTGTTCAATATGATGCTAACTGTCTGTCTGTCATCTATGGCCTTTGTTATTTTAAGGTATGCTCCTTCTATAGCCAGTTTGTTGAAGGGTTTTAATATCAAGCAAGGTTGAATTTTCTTGAATGCTTTTTCACCGTGTATTGAAATGATCACATGGATTTTGTTCTCAATTCTGTTAACATGATGTATCATCTTCATTGATTTGTGTATGTTGAACTCATTGCACCCCTGGGATAAATTCCATTTGGTCATGGTGAAAATGTGTTGTTGCATTCAGTTTGCTAGTATTTTGTGGAAGATTTTTGCATTTATATTTTTCAGTGATATTAGCCTATAGTTTTTGTTCTTCTTGTTGTGTCCTTGTCTAGTTTTGATATCTGAGTAATGCTGGCTTCATATAATGAGTTTGAAAATATTTCCTGCTGTTTGATTTTGATTTTGAAGAATTTGAATAAATTGTTATTAGCTTTTCTTTAAATTCTTGGTAGAATTCAGCTGTGAAACCATCAGGTCTTGAGCTTTTCTTTGTTGGGAGACTTGTTTTACGGCTTCAATCCTTTACTTGCTATTGGTTTATTCAGGTTTTCTAGTTCTTCATGGTTCAATCTTGGTAGTTGCATGCATCCAGAAAATTAACCATTTCTTCTAGGCTTTCCAATTTGTTGGCTTCTAGTTGTTCATAATAGTCTCTAGTGATTCTTTGTGCTTTCAGCTGTTACGTCTGCTTTTTCATTTCTGATTTTATTGGGTCTTTTCGCTTTTTTTTTTCTTAGTCTAGCTAGAGATTCATTGATTTTGCTTGTCTTTTCAAAAAAAAAATTATTAGGTGTTAGTAAAGCAATTTACCATTATGGAGAAGTTTTATATTGGAGAACAACAAGAACTATTGTATGTGAAGGTAGGTAAATTAAACATTCTTTAAAGATTTCTTGTAAATTTAGACTTTTTTTTTCTGCAGCATAAGTAGAGGCAAGTAGTGTGTTCATGAAACCTGTCTCTTAAGATACTGAAATAGTATCAGTGTGTTGAGTATTAAAAAGTGACACAATTGAGAGGTACTATGCCACTTCAGTGTACTGAGGAAGTAAATGTTAACTTCGCAATAGCTATATACCGTTAAAAAAAAAGAAAAGAAGAAGACAACTTGAAGATTATTACATAGTTGACATGTGTCTTAAGTCCTACCTGAGATTAGAATGGTTCATTGTATTTTTCTGGCTAAAAAAAAATTAAATCAATTATAAAAGTATTCTACTTACACTTGTCATTTTACCATGAATGGAATCAGAAAAAAAAAAAAAGTACAGTGACTGAAAAAAATATTGCAAAATAAATGTAATATTAAAAAATTTTTTGATTCCTTGAAATCTCCTCAAATTATGACTTTGTGCCACCTCATTGTGAGTCATTAATGAATGCACACTTAACCAAGAAAATAAATTAAAAATTAATTTTGTGCATTGAAAAAAATCCAAATTGACTTGTCAGTAAGAGAACTAAACTCAATTCTAAATTGCATGTCTGAAAACAAAGAGAGGCATGAAATTCTAGGGTTCTGTCACATTAACTGAAGATTTCTTGACATGAATGTGCCACTGTTGTTAAATGAGAGCTGGAAAAGGAACTAGGAGTTTTCAAATATCAATGTCCATTGCTTTTCAGAAACAGCATATACAGACTGGGTTTACTTGTGCTATGTCCATCAAGATACTCAAGTTACTAGAATGTTACATTTTGGAGCCTCACGTATAGAAGAACCTTGCCCTGAAAGAAAGATGAGGGGAAATAACTTCAGATCAAGATGCAAGAGACCTGAGTTATAGTTCCTGCTCTGCCACTTATCATGTCTGGGTCTTCTGGTAAGACTTTTAACTTCCCTCTGTCACAGTTTTCTCTCATATGAGGGGGTTGGACTTAGTTCAAAAATCACAAAACAGTGATGGAGATTTCACCACTTTCTTCTTTTACATTGGATTAAAAAAACTATTATCTAAAGATTTTGGGTCTGTATATTTTGCACAGAAATATATGTTGAGTAGCAAAATCTTAGAAAAGTATTAAACATCTCCTAAAACATGACACTGTGAGATATCCCAGAGAAACATTAATTATATGATTATCTAAATACCTAATGGTCTAGAGGCTCTGTCAAGTTGATTAAATTTAATGATTAAATTTTAAATATCCTCAAACATTAGCCACACAACCAAAAGAGCACTTGAGTAGTTGTTTCCTACATTCAGCTCTGAAATATGCCAAATTTGTGTTTATAAACAATCTTCATTAAGTCTGACTGGCACTGTTAATCTGAGTTAAGTCTCTAATTCTGGGCATCCAAGGCCTCTGTCCTCTCTTTCTTCATCTTTTATTGTTTTCATGATGAGATGAATTAAAATTCTTATTTGTTATGCATTTGGCATACCACCGTTCTTCCTGCTCATCTGTGCTTATAAGATTTTACCCTGCTTGCATAAGTGTTCATGAGCCCTCAATTTTGAACAGCTGTGAGGAAGCCTGGTTAACTATTTGTAAACACCACCCAACGATCCTTGACAGTGATGGCAATCTTGCAGAATACTGAAGTGCTATTTTATTGGGAGTGATAATGAGACTCTCTTGTCCAGAGGTCTGGTTATTACACCAATACTAAACATTATCATTTAGTTGTCTGGTGTAAAATAATGAATTACTCTCATATATTTTATGAGGCTATATCTACATTTTTTTTCACAACAGAAAAAAATGGTACATACAGCTATAAGCTTTATTGATATAATTCAAATTTACACCATTACTGAGTTTTCTAATTATCTACCTTGGTTAGCTTTCAGAACAAATACAGAATTTATATTGTGAATTGCTCCTTCTTTTATTTAAAAAGCAAGTCTTCTTTTAGAGTTGTTGGCATGACTGGTGATTACTAACTTGTGTGTGTGTGTGTGTGTGTGTGTGTGTGTGTATGTGTATGTATAACTAGTAGTGTATCACCAGTATTTATCTATATATGTATATAACTACTAGTTTATATACATATATATCTACTCTCTCTATATATAACTACTAGTTAGTATATCACCAGTAGTTTATATATATATGCATATATATATGAGGTTATTTGAAGTAGAAAGTAGGTTTTCTAGGAAAAAATAAAAAATAAAACCAAAGATAAGTAGAGTTAATACCTTTTACAAGTGTAATATGATATTTAATTATATAAATGACATACTATTCGTATGTTTTATGTCATACAGTATTAATGTATAATATTATATATAATAATACATTTTTATAAAGACCCAAATATTTTTCCTATATGGTCCATAAACTTAACAATTGCTTTTATTATATCAAATTACAAGCTAGCTATTAGAAGTCACTCTTAATAATTAGGGTTGAATAATGAAGACAATTACAACTGAACAGGGCATGGCCTCTACTGAGAGATCAGTAAATAGTTGTTGAATAAATGTATAAAAAGTTATGAAAGCTTCCACTTTTTTTCTAAGAGCATGTAGCTTGTTAAGTTGCAAAGATGCAAATAAAAGCTGTGTTTCTCATTGCAATTCAAGTCCTGTACTGCTCCCATTTTTATGCATGTAGCTTTATATATCTAAACCTTTTTTTATGATACTAATATCATTTTGTAGATATCTATATAAAGTTTGTGCACACTTTTCATAAAGTATGCACATTACTAAAGTATTTATAAAGTTGTTGCTGATATGAATGAGACTTATTTTTCAATTTTATTCTCCAACTGGTTATGGTAGGAATGGTAGGAATGAAAATAATATCATTTATATTACATTCTCTTATTTCTTCTAAAGTGTTTTGAGTACCTACTATGTGCAAGGAACTATGCTAGGAATTGGAATAAGTGGGAAAAATACAGAGAATCTGTCTTCAGGGAGCTTATGGCCTACATGGGCCAAAAACCCTGCCTTGAGTGAGGGCAGAATGGAAGAATTGTAGTTGAGACTGTTGAGAGACAATTCTCCCGTGGCATTCTTGCACCTGTCTACATCTTGATAGCAGAGGTACTGACTGCATTTGTCCCAACTGTCTTTTCAATAATATTTGTACAGTGGATAGACTTGGAAAATATAGCATCTCTGTCCAGAGAGAAGGGCAGGTTTGCTTATAGTCTTAGAAGTATAGCCTCTCTCTTGGCAGCAAAAGGTAGGCATGCTTTTTATTCATTCAAAAGTTGGGCTCCCTAAGCTCAAGGTTTCTCTCCTGAAATGCAACAGGTATACAGGTGTCACTTTAACCCTCTTGGCATCACCTTATGGGAACAGGGGGTCAGAGAATCAAAGAAAATACTAAAACTCTGCTACTGTTATTAATAAAATTTTTTTATTAAAATTTTTTTCCCTGACCCAGGAATGTCCTATCTTCTGCCAGCATCTATAAAACTATTGAAGACTAACTTATTAGCTTGCAAGTAGAGTAAATTATCAAACTTCTTAAAGTTCTTGACATGGATCTAAAGTCAAAGTAGGACATACCAAGGCCAAACAGGCCAGGGGTAAGGACTTCATAAAAAGCATTGTAAAAAAAGGCCATCACATTTATTGGCCTGGTTTGCACAGAAATGGACCTGAAGTTGAGGATATGAACTGGAAAGAACAAAATTTAACAGGTAATCCTAGCCTAATTTGTTAAGTGCTCACTATATTCTAGGCACTATTCACATTTTACATAAATTAACCTAATAAATTTTCTACAAGCTTTCACATAGGTATATTTGTGATTCTCATTTTATACCTGAAGAAACAAAGACAAAGAAAAGATAAGTTACTTGTCCACAGTCACATACTTAGTTAGAAGTAGAATCAGAATTCAAACTCAAGATGCATGACTCTACAGCCCCTGGTTCTTGACATGAGACTTTGTATCTCAGGATGGCCTTGAATCAAGGCCATATCATGAAAGTCTTGTAAAGCACACTTAGGACGATAGACTTCATGCTAGGAAAATGTGTGTTATAATTTGGATGTTTGCCCCTCTAAATCTCATGTTGCAATCTGATCCTCAGTGTTGGAGGTGGAGACGTAAAGTGGAGTGTTTTGATTGTGGGGGCGGATCCCTCATGAATGGCTTGGTGAGTTCTTGCTCTATTAGTTCCGACAAGAGCTGGTTATGAAAAAGAGCCTGGCACGTCCCCATTGTCTCTCTCTTGCTTCCTCTCTCACCATATGATTTCTGCACAGGTCTGCTTCCCTTTGCCTTCCACAATCAGTGGAAGCAGCCTGAAGCCTTCACTAGTAGCAGATGCTGGTGCCATACTTCTTCAGCCTGCAAATCAATGAGCCAAATAAATCTTTCTTTACGTATTACCCAGCCTCAGGTCTTTCTTTATAGCAACACAAATGGGCAAAGATAGTAGGTAACCACCAAGAGGCAGGAAAATGACCTCTTAGTGATAAACTTTGTACTCTGGAAAGGGACAAATATCAGAGGCAGTGTAGAAGCTGTTGCAGTAGTCTAGGTTACAGACAATGATCACAAAAAGTTAAAAAGACAATTTGGGATCTCTTTTATGAGCTTTTTTTTTTTTTTAATCTGTAGCACCAAGAACAATGTATGGTAGCAATATGTACTCAGCTGATATATTTCAAATAAATAAATTAATCTGTTCACCATCCTAAAACCTCTTTCTAATTCTAATAATATGGGGGTGCATTTGGTAAAATGTATACAAATGTATAAGCATATGTGCACATATATATTTGTAAAAATTATAAGAGGCAAGTAATGGCAAAACTGAAAGACATTTCATTCAATTTTCTTTGATGTTGAGCTTTGCAGTTGGTGTAGTGCTAAACCCCCTTAACTTGAAATCTCATGAAATGCTGTTTTATAAGCAATGATGTTGGTCCTTGGATATAACCACATGTCCTGCTGCAGCCTGGATCTTGCAACAGGCAATTCCATGGCTTGAACTGGGTAATTTTTGTCATACCATGGTTAGTTAACTTGGGCCTTTTTCTTAAACTGGAACTTGCATTGGCAATCTAGATTTGCTGATTTTTTTGCAGCCATAACATGCAACCATGAAAGAAGCAAAACTGTGGTCAGAGGAAAAAACAAAAGTCCAGTCAGACTCTTTAAGAATAATAGGACTCTTTAAGTTCTGACTAGACTTTTGGTTTTTCCTCTGATGAAATACAACTAAACAAAAAGTTTTCTTAGATTCAGATAAGACATCAGGTTTCTGACTTATAGTAGATAGAACCTCAGAGAAAAGGATGCTTTGTAATACACTGATTATTGTGAGAGAACTGAAATAAAAATGATGTAGTTAATCAATTAAAATTTTATTTTAATTAATTTTAATTTAGTTATATAATTTCATCTAATTGGTGTATTCAACTAATATATAATTTAATTAATATTTTTACTTAATTAAAATGTAATTATTTTAAAATATGTAACATAATTTTGTATCACTAGCCTCTTAGGGAAGGCCATATTTTACACATACGTGAAAAGTTCTTTGAAGGAGAAATTCAGTATCATTATCCATATTATTTATGTGTTGTTGGAATGGTCAGGACAAGGCACTGCAGTTGACATCATTATCCATAGTGGTGGTCACTTGACTTTCCTCATTTAATTTTATTTAAATTAAAAATATTGGTTGGATGCAGTGGCTCACACCTGTGATCCCAACACTTTGAGATGCCAAAGGGGGCAGATGGCTTTGAGCTCAGGAATTCAAGACCAGCCTAGGCAACATGGTGAAACCCTGTCTCTACAAAAAACACAAATATTAGTCAGATATGGTGGCTGATGCCTGTGGTCCCAGCTACTCGGGAGGCTGAGGTCAGAGGATCCCTTGAGCCTGGGAAGCAGA